TAACTGCCAGGAGGTCGCAGGATCAAAGCCTGCCCGGGATTAAACTTCACCTCACTCTTACTATAGTTAATTTTAATTAGAGGGGCCAGCCCTAATTAAGAGAGATGTTGATTGTGATGCGTGCAATAAATAGAATAGACTTCACAGAGGTAACGCAAGCAAGCGGGTTGAATAAGTATTGGTATACCACTTGGTCAGCTTAAAGCCGACCGAATACTAGTTCATTGATTATTAGAGAACTAAGTTGGAATGAACATCACCTAAGCCGCTTTTCCAATTTTTCTTTTAGCTTATGTGCACCTTCTCTCTAAGCGGGGTTTTTTTCAATAGTTACTCAAGGATTACACCTTTAAGCCTTACACTATTTTTAATAAAAATTAATTTTGTTTTAAAGCCAAATCCAATTCCAATACCTTTTGTTGAATTAAAAAATTGGGAATCTTCAATAGAAAATGAAGGAATGTTTAACGATCGTTATCACAAATATTTATTAGTTGACAGACTTTTGCTGGTTTGTATAGCTAAATCTATGCCTGTTTTTGAAAAATTGACTTTATCTGATCAGGTATATATAATCTATATCAAGGTGTAGAGAATTGAGAAGCAAATTGCTTCGTCAATAGAATTATGGGATATTCTGGAGTGGGTTCTATTTTTAACAACGTATGTATAAGTAGGGTGGGTATTGAGACAGCTTACTGGGTATTATGACACTGGCAGTAAAATACACCGGGGGTACGTGTATAATGCAAACCTCTCTTGATCCCGAGGAGATGGTCTCGGATGAATTAGTCCTATTACATCTTTATTAAGAATCCTTTTCTTTCAAATTTTATCTTTCTTATCAACCAATAATTTTCTGGCATGTTTTCGTAAAGCGTAGTCTTAATTGAAATCTACAAGGGTCTATTTTTTATTAATGCATTGCCACGACTTTCCTTCCCTCCATTGAGACCAGTACTCTGTAGCATGGTTTTAGGTAAGTTTCCTGGTATTCCAGCAGCAGTGGCTGCAGCTTGACTTTGCTTAAAAAAGACCCATACAATTATGATATATTCTGGGATGGGTTCTGTTTAACAACTTCTGTATGTGTTGTGTTGAAACAAATTTAAATAACTCTATTTTCTTTTTATAAAATAGATTGCACTTGTAAGGCATATTTCTTATGTATTTACTTCATTTACTGGCTCTTACTTAGCTTGGGAATTGGGCTCTGAAACTTGGACACGTAAAGATTGTGTTATGCCAGCTCTAGCTATTATAAAGAATGATTTGTTCCTAAATGATGCACGGTTAATCTAAAAATGATGAAAAATATTTCTTTAATTTTTAGAATGATTAAATGGGCAGAAATTTTATTCACAAAATCTGTTGCTCATTTTAAACGTGTTGCTTTAACAAAAACTGAATATGCTTTATTAATAGCTATTATTCTTACTAGATCGAGTAAGAAATTTAACATAGTATAACTTTAATATTTGCCCAATTTTACTCATCTAGGTTTTATCTTGCCAAAATTATAAGCTTGCCGAGAGGCTGTATGGCCTAGATTTCAGCGGTATCAGGATCCCAATCCATTTCGGGGTGGATTATCCCGCTTTTTTGAATCCCGATTTTGCTGATTCCAAGACCGAAAGATAAATCCCGGTTTCGACCAATCCCGATCCCGCAGTCGGGACCGGGATCGGGTTAAATATTCCAAAATCCCGATCCCGTTTCCCGCTGAACTCTAGTATGGCCTAAACCCTTTTATTATAATAAAGTGGAAGTATGCTGGGTTATTCTAAAATCAACCCTAGGCACATTAAACCATTATATTCCCTAAGGAAAGCTAAAGGGCTAGCCAGAACCTAGCTTATACCTTTACCAAGCCACGCAGGTGTGCTCTTCCTTATGGGCACATACATATATATAAAAAGACTAACTGGGTACTGATTTATTGGTGAAACAATAAACAATATATAAACATAAGCATGTGAATGGGAGGTGTCACAGGAAAAAGCGATAAATAATAATTATAGTTTAAAAGTTGGGAAAATCCATTAATGCATAATGCTCGCCTAAAAGATCACCTTTGCCTAGGCAATAAACGGATATGACTTACATTATTCACTATTAAATTTCATTTTTAAAGTTAATTTAAATAAACTTAAAATTTTTCAAAAAAAGGTGCTAAAGGCATGTCGGTTGAAGGAAAGGAATTACTTTTAAATGAAACTAATAAATATACAAATATTTTACTTCGATATAATCAACAAAGATTAGGTTTAATTGAAGGGGCTCAAAGATTGGCCGAGTGTAGTCGACTAATTTGCCGATGTATTGAAAATGAATATACTTATAGATTGATGTTTTCTCATCAACTCAGATGTTATTCAATGGGTAGAACTTACTATAAATGGTCAAACTTTCTTGAAAATTCATTGAATAAAAATGATTAAAACTTGATGATTTCTGAAAAATATATAATATAATATATAAATAATATCCTAACCCCTTTTACAAAAGCTAGTCGGCGATGGGCCCCAAGAGGTAGCCCCAGGACAAGGAATACAGGCCCGCACTAGACCCAGGACACAGGCTTCCACACGGGCCCCAGGACACCGGACCCAAGCTTCCCCACGGGCGTCAGGACACCGGACCAAGGCCCCACACCGGACCCTGGCTTCCACACGGGCCCCAGGACACCGGTCCCAGGACACCTGATCCGGACACTTGACCCAAAACACTGGCCTAAGAACACTGGCCTCAGAACACCGGCCCTAGGATACCGGCCCCAAGTCACCGGATTGAGGACACTGGACCCAGGACACAAACCCCACACAGGCCCCAGGACACCAGAGAGTGGTAACCCACCCTTGGGGCGCGCCGATCCACCAAGTAAAAGGAAAGCTTTCTTTTTAACTTTTATTCAACAATATATTTAATAAAATATAAGGGAGAAAGAACGATCAACACTTTGTCGGAATTGAGATTAAACGAATGAACTTATTTGGCCGATTCTTTCTCTCCTTTTATGGGGCATCGTTAAAAATTTTTTTCTTAACTATGACATACCGTAAATCTTCTAATAAAACCACATTTCTAATAGAAGCACGCTTCTAATAGAAGCACAACCTACAAGAGTATCGAAAAAAAGCACAGTCTCAATTTTAAGCAGTCACCAATATATGTAAGCACACCCTATGAGGGTATCGAAAGATAGTAGCACTCTGCTTCTATTATAAGATTTACGGTATATGCATTTTTTCTTTAAATTTTTTAAATTTATTTCTATCAAATAAATTTGTTTTTAATTTCTCCTTTCTCTATTTTGTCTTTAAATTTTGGGTACTTTTCCGTTATATTCCCAAAAATTCCTTGTCTTAATTTAATCAGTGGGTATTATCGGTATCGATATCGAAAAATACCAACATCTATATTTTTATAGATATATCGTAACGGGCCGGGCTCTACTTAATATGTAAAAATATATTTATCATTTTACTTATATTACAGCTAAAGCCAATTTTTGGGAAGAGGTTTTTTTCTCATCAGAATATTTTTGAATAGGATTTTATATAATCCTAAATTACGTATACTAATTAGAGCTGTGAATTTTATGCATTAAAAAAATGCAAAATATGCACAAAATATGCACTAAAAACAAATTGCCGAAATATGCACGAAAATATACAAGAAACCCAAAATATCCACACAAATATGCATGAAAAATACAATTTATACCTAGAAATTTTTTTAATAAATATTTTTTTAATTAATAATAATGTATATCTGATTGGGATAATGAATATACCTAGATCAACTGTGGTCTTCAGTACAAGAGCTGAGATCGGTATCCGAGATTTTGATCAGATCTCGTCTCGGTCTTATCATAAATAAGGTTGTCTGCTAATCATCTAATTATGATGATTAGCAAATTAAAAAATATCATTCAAATATTTTATTCAATTTAGTAAAAGAATAAAAAATAAAAACGTATAAAATCAATTTTCCATATTTTCTATCTAATTTTTTTTTCTTTAAATTTGCATCCAAAAATGGACAAAAATAAAAATTTAGCTGTTAATTTGCCATTTTTAGAAATTTAAAAATTAGCCAAAATTTTTTTTGCAATATTTTATTACTTAATTCTAGTGGTTTTTGCAAAATTAAATATTTTATTAATGAAAAATATTAAATAAAAAAATAAAAATATATTTTTTATTATTTGTTTTAGCGCTTAATAAATACCAAAAATAAAATTTTGAAAATTATTATTTATTTACTCATTTAAAATAAAATTTAAAAAAAAAATAAATAATCTCTACTCTCTAAAGCTATTGACTAAATTTGATAAATTAATTCAAAAATAATTTTAAAAGAATAATTTATTTAATACTTTGTAGAATTGGCATATTCTTCACCTACCAACGGGAGCAGGCCAACTTGCTGCGAGCCCAAATTACCGCATAGCTATAACTTCGTTCAGATACGCCCTGGTATGGTTCGATGAGCCTTAACGAGCTGAATCGAAACATACCAAATCGTCCCGGATTCGATAACCTGCGATAAGTTGGACTTGCGGTAAGCTGGGGCCATATTCTTCGCCTACCAAGTTCCTATTTTGGACCATATCTTTTTTATTACCCAACCAATTTGAGTAATTCTTATATTTATCGAAAGCTCTAAATATGCGGATCATTATTTCTAAGAAGTAAAATTTGATGATATTATTATGATAAAATCATAACTTGAAAAATTACCTCAAATAATATCAAAAAAATTCACGATTACACGCACTGCTCTGACCATAACTTTACATCAAATAATTTGATCAGACCTATCCTGTTAGGAATAATAATCTGCACAGCCAGAGCTTTCGAATGGTATAAAAATTATTAGAATCTGTTAAGAATTAAAAAAGTTATGGTCCAAAATAGAGCAATGGGACTGAAATAAAGTGTCTCTCACATTCTCTGCTTGAATTACCCAAAGAAAATTTTTTAAAAACTTTAGAAATGTTTACAAATATTTTAATAATTAATTTTATAATTCTAACAATACAAGAATTCAATTTTGCTAAAGCAACAACTTCAGGCTTTGACTCAGTTCAAAATATAACTACAGAAACCTTCACTCAAGCTAAATCATCTGCTGTAATTTTTTAATTTTTTTTTAACTTAAAAAATTATTTTTAAGAATTTTTTTATTGGGCGTGTATTTAATGGAGCTCTATATGATATTCCAAGTGACGGACCAAGCCTGGAAAGTGCTGTAGATCAAGCGGGAATTCAAAATATTGCTAATGCTAATAGTGCAGGTATTTGAAAAGTAAACTAAAATTAAATAAGATTCACTCATCTAGCGGATGTAACAGTTTGATGGGAGTTTAGCAAAAATTTTTTAATTTTACCAAAACCTAAACCAGCGGGCATCACCTCGAGGAGTCAGGATATTAGGTTAAAAACGCTCAGCGTGTTTTAAAAATTTAATAGTATGTCATCTGACATAGCGGATTCCACGCGTAATCTTGTCGCCCTGCATTGTTTCCAATTAATGCCAATTTAGGGGGATATTTAACTCTCCCTATCCAAAAATATATAACTCGACGCCGACATTCCTCAAGCAAGACAATTTGCAATAAATTGTAATAAAATATTAATTCGTCTTTTTTATATTAAGTAAATTTTTATTACTTGCAGAATTCTAAATTTATAAGAGAATTCTAAATCTAAATCCATTACAAATTTAAAAGAAATAAAAATCGTTTATAAAATAATTGCTAAATTGGTCAACTTGTTTAGTCAATTTTCCTCTCCAAGATTGACACAAAAAACCTGCTCATTGTTTGCCAGATTCATTTAAGAATCTGCTAGAGTGGTTTACACGGGATTTGTAGATAAATGAAAATATCTAGGAAAAATTTTAAAAAATAATGAAAATATAAGGTTTGATCAAGTATTAGATATTTAAAAAGTTGAATTTAGTGAATAATAAAAAATATATTGCTTCCTAAATTCCTTCAAGGTTCAGATCTGTTATTATTTAATATATTAAAATATATTTATTGTTTTATTTATAAATATATTTTCTGTCAAAGGGTGTCATCATAAATAAGTCCTAAATGTGTATTTTTGGATAGAGGGTTTTGTTTAACTCTCTAAAATGATTATAGACGTTACTATGTATTGTCTGCGTTTAAGGTAAAGAAGACTCAGCTTATTATTCGAGAGTCTGCAAGGATTAAATCTACATACTTATAAAAGAAATTTTCTTATAATTTCTATTTTTTATAGGCCTGGATGTAGATGCCTATTTTGTGCCTCGTTATGCCCAATTATACGAAAATATTGATGCACAGGTCCTCGTATTTTCTTTAAATTTATTAATTTTAACGATTAGATCGATTACACCTTAAAAGCTATAAATGACGCAAATTTGCAAATAAAAACTATTTGGGTAGTAATTTCAAGTAATTTGCGTTCTGGGTGGACGGAGAATGCTCAAAGTAATGTTGATTGTCTAACTCGATTTTTGACTCAATTTAAGGTAAAATTTATTTTTAAAAGGCGTGATTGAGGGTGAAGTTAATGAAAAATATTTAATTTTAGAATATTAATAATAATTTTCAAATTGGAATTGCGACACGTCAAGACGAATTAGAAGAAATTACTGGGACGGCTGGAGATATAGGCGCGTCCAAACCTAACGGTTATATTTTTTATTTAAAATCCCAAGGATCGCTCGGTCTCAGATCAGACCGAGCGATCTGATCTGAGCATTTCCCCTACTCCGCTAAGGTCGAGAGTTAAGTGTCAGATTTACTCACCAAATTGACTACCTACTTTTCATATGATTCCTTACAATTTTGGAGGGACGATCGCTTACTTATCCTTCTCATTGTCAGCTATGCCTTTTGACATCTTAAAGTTAAGGGAAAGCTTGGATTGGAACAAGTCCGAGGGAGTGTATGTGGGGAAATTCGATGTAGAGTCTTGAGCAACTACAACTGCACAATATGTAGCGTTCCTGTCTAATACTTTTTATTTAAGCCGGAACTCCACTTTGGTGGAAAAACTGTAACGGAAGTGCTACTTTTAATGCTTTTGCTGGATGGTTAAATAATTAGTATTGAATTAAAAAATATTTAAATTTAAAGGGGTGCACCAACAATAACCCAAACTCAATGTGGAATACAAAGTTTTGGAATAGACAAAGTTAATATGGATGTAAAGAATTAAGAAAAGAAGAAGAAAGAACTGAGGAATTGAAGGAATAATTATCGAGAGTGAATAAAGAAGATAAGCCTTAACGACATTTACGCAACGACATTTGCGTACAACATTAATCTATTTTTGAAATTGGAATAGCCAACCATTGGGTCTTGACTATTACCATGTTTTATGTTTAAAATACATCTTTGGTGGAAACCAAGGTGGATCGGAATTCCGATTTCCGACCTCCGATTTCCGGCGTTTTTTCATTCCGATTTCCGAAAAAAATTTGATTTCCGAGTTCCGACTTTTGAGTCAGTTCCGATTTCCGGCTCTACCGATTTCCGACACCTCTGACTGTTCCGACCCTCCTCTGGTAGAAACAAACTAGTACCGCTATACTAAGTCTAAATCAGGAAAACGTATCCTGATTGTTCGAAAATGTCGGTGCGCAAATGTCGCTCCCCCACAAAATACCTTTAAATTAATTTAAAAATATATTCTGGCAAACAAAAATCAATTTTTGCTGACTAAAAATTTCTCTTCAATTTACCAACATTCTATCAAACTTTTCATGTGATTTCGATTAAATTAAAGCAAAAACCTGTTTCTATTTATTCAACGAATTTAATTAAATAATTGCCTTATTTCTCAAATTTAAAATTATTTTTATTAAAAATTTTAAAAAATCAGAATGCCAAATATTGTAGGTTTTTTAATTTCAATTTTTAATTGTAATGAAGGGAAATCCAGATAGCTAGTTACATGACTGTGAATTTAAGATTTACTAAGAAGATATTGATCTCGGGTCAATGGCTGCTTTCGTAACAGGCTTAACCAAGGTTGACGTTTTAGGGTATCCGGATATGTTAAACCCCAAGTATACGGAAATTTTCGGTTAAGTTAAAGTATAGCTATTTCTCTCTTTTAGCTTTTGCAAAAGGTTATTCGGCGGCTGTGAGCGAACCAGCATCTTAGTAGACCGGACTTTTGTTAGCCATTATACCACGCCGCCTACTGCTCAGCCTTAGGAAATTAATAGCTATATGCTTTACATTATTGGTTCCAATATCTCAGGATTATATCCGGAATTTAACGAATAAATTTGTTTCTTATAGTTTGAAAAAATCGCAAATCGGTCAAGGAACTTGTTTCAGCGTCAAAGTATTCAATAATTTAATAATACTTCAAATAAATTAATAAAAATATTTTTAAAAGCAAACTCTTCCGCTTCTAACACAGCACATAAAATTGTGAATAAAACGGAGAGAGCTGGTAAAATTAATTTTTAATTAAAAATCAATTTAGACTCTTAATAAGCTTGTATAAGAACATAGATGGCTTTACTCCTTCGTTTTTTATTTCCATTCGTTTCCTACGTCCTCCTCGCAGAGGGCCCATCCTTTATGAGAACGAATCTGTTATGTCACAGAGTGCGGTCTAGCCTAGTGACTAACAGAATAAAGAAAAATAAGTTAACTTTTTATCAGAAGAGTAAATACAAGAATAACGAAGGTATCAAAAAGCAGGAATAATGATGACAGACGTCAAGTACATATCGGCCAAGTGCCAATAGGAATGTTTATTAGCAGGGTTTTCGGTTCCTGGAAATTATTCGGATATCTGAAACCGAACCGAAGAACCTAACCGAAGATTTCGGCGAACCGAAGAATCATCGGTTCGGTACGGCCTGAACCGACAACCCTATTTATTAATGCCTGCAATTATCGATACGGTAACACACAAACCTAACGGTATCGAAGAAAAATTTAATGAGAGTAGTTCTATCTTCAAGAAATTTCCTTGATCCTATAACAAGTGCCAATTGAAAAAATAAAATAATTTTTCAGTTCATAGTGGTGCTAGTGACCTAAGTAAAGCAGCACACAAAGGAATTAATAAAACACAAAAAGCCGCAAAATCGCTTGGTAAAAATTAAATTAAATCTTCAAATATTTTGTATTTTTAGAGAAGGATGCTAAAAAGGCTGTGAAGCATAAATAAAAAATTTTATTGAAAAAAATATTTTATAATAAAAAATAAAGAAATTTTGAATTAGCAAAAACGACAAGTTTTGGGACATAAAGTCCTCATTATTTGAAAAATGTTTGGAGCAAAGCAGCGGTCCTGAGTCCACCAACAAACTGTTATTTTGTCCTCACATACTCCTAAAATTATTTTTTTTATTTCATTACTATTCTAATGTGAAGACACTCTCTATTAGAATATATCCCAAAAGGAAGGATACGGTAGGGTAGTAATGGGGTATCTATAGAGGGAGATCGTAAGTGACTCCCTATTTGCGGTCACTTCCGCACTCAAACACTTATGATTTTTGAAACTTGTGGCATTTTCGAACGCCTCTACTACAAGGCTTGGTCAGAATTTCGATATTTATTTATGCGATTTCTGAACTTCGTTAAAAATCTTCTAGTAATTACTAGAGTGAGCAAAACCGATTAACCGCTTATGGCTACGTTAACCGGGTGTTTTTGCGAAATTAACACTTTATCCGGGTTTCTAAAAACACGTTTCAACATTAACCGGGGGGACCGGTTAATAACCGGCTTTGCTTTACCCTGGTAATTACTTTTAACTAGGGTTGCGCCCCGACCCCGACTAACCCCGACCCCGACCCCGAACCCCGACATTTTTTGACCTAAAACCCCGACCCCGACCCCGACATTCCCAACCCCGAAAACCCCGACCCCCGAAAGTTCGACCCCGACGACCCCGAACCCCGAAAAATTTTTATGCCCCCGACTCAAACTGCATTAATTAACTAGAGATTGGAACGGGATCGGGACTTTAAGGTTAAATATATGAAGGAAAAGGGCAAGGAATATTTATATTTTCTCCTATTTCCTTTTGTTGGACGGTGGTTGAGTGGTTAGGTTAACTGACTTCACCCATCTAGCTATTTTGATAGGATCCATGTTCGAATACATGGATGGAAATGAGGCTGAGAAAATTTTTCTTCTCAAAAATAAATATTTTTAAACTTTGATCTTGATTTTAAATTTGCAAATTTATTTTTTTAATATTTTAAACTTGAAAAAATTTTAGAGATTTTAAACTAGTCATGAATTTCCAAAATTTTCGCCTGCGGCGCAGAAAATGGAAGAAATCTGGCTCTTGATCTTCCAAAAAAGATCTTGGTCTTCCTCTTGATCTTCCAAAAATTTGCCAAAATATGCACTGAAATATGCACCAAAAAATAGTTAAAATATGCTTTAAAGATCAATATTTTAAGTCAAAAACACAAAGTAGCCTTTAAAACAGCAATTTAAGAAAATTCTTAAAAGATTTTATGGAATTAAGATTTCTGCATAAAAATTTAATTAAAGAAAATTTTTCCGAAAAATTTTTCGAAAAAATTTTTTCATAAAATTTTTATAAAAAATTTTTTGACCAAAAAAATTCCAGAAATTTGAAAATTTTCGCCGATTTTTACTAAAATTTATCAAAAAATGCCGAAATATGGACCAAAATATGCAAAATTCAAGGCATATCCGCATACCCACTTCAAGGCATATCCGCATACAAAACATGCATTTGCATGTATTGGCTGTCACTACTAATAACCAATTAGATACAGAAAGTGAAGATAATGAAGATTAAGTTGATTTTTTAATAAAAATGTTGATTTTGAACAGTAATGTTGGATAAAAATGCTGGATTTTGTAAATTTTGACTTCAACCCCGACCCCCGACCCCGACCCCGAACCCCGACATTATTTTCAGCCCCGACCCCGACCCCGAACAATTTGAGCAACCCCGACCCCGACTTTGTCAACCCCGAAAACCCCGACCCCCGACTTTTTAACCCCGAAGGCTCGAGGCGCAACCCTACTTTTAACAAGTACATCCTTACTAACGAATTCCCATGGTATACGGTATCTCACTCTATTAACATGAAAATTAGGCATTTTTCTGGAAATACTGACTTTAGTGTTATTCAATTTCCTAGCAGAATTCCTGGCTTACTCACGTATTTAACATATTATAGAATAAAATGTCTTTTTCCCTTCAACTCTCAAAATACCTTGAAATTTCCTATTAATTCCTTGAAAAAATTCCTATTAAACCTTGAAAATTCCTATTAATTCCTATTAAACGGTTAATTTCGCAAAAACACCCGGTTTCACCGATTTCGGTCCCGGGGTTTTCCTGCATTCTACTCTTTTTCCCTTCAACTCTCAAAATACCTTGAAAATTCCTATTAATTCCTTGAGGCTTTCCTTTTCCTTTTTCATCAACTTTAGTAAGCACACCAACATTCCCTCCTCCTCCCTTTTTTTCCTTCCCTTCACTCGCAATTAACAACGAAAATGGAGGCAATATTTGTGTTTTTGATTTAGTAGCCGCGTGTTGCGCAATTAAGGAAGTTTTTTGTGGTTGGGTATTTGGTTGTTGTGGTTGTTGTTGACAATTATACATTTTATTTATTTTGGCCAAATCACTTTAAAGAGGGAAATTTTCGAGAAATTCTTTAAGAATTATATGTGATCAAATTTCATCTGTTTTATGTTTTATTTATTTTGTAGAGCCAGTGGGGCTGCCAAGTTATTTTTCTATAGTTCGTGAATAGGGTTGGGGTTTTCGAGTCAGGGAGCCGGCCCGACCGAGTCTTTTTCGGGCCAAAATTCAATGCCCGACTCGATCTTTCGGAAAGGGCCAGATCGGGCCCCAACCCTATTCGTGAATAATGGAGTTCAAATCCTAATTATTATTATCCCTTTACGATAAAAATGTTGAAGAGAATGGAGTAGAAATTTGTTACTTAGAGGTCTATAAATTCATATTTATGTACTGGATCCCCTATAAATAGAGGGTAGCTAGTACAGTAATTTTCGAATTTATAAGACATCCAAAGGATGAATATCTTCTCTTTTATCTTAAGAAATGATTATAATAAAAGGCTAATGATGGTTAATACATATGTACACTTTTATTAGTAGGATAGAAAACGGCACTTTGGCAGTCCCCATAGGTGCGATAAAAATGACACACTCCAACTCAGCTATACTATCTTAGTCTTTGAATTTTTATAAGATTTTCAAAAAAATATTTCTTACATATCACTAAAATCTCTAGCATTTCCAATTGTAGTCGCAAAACAAAGAAAAGGTTAATTTAAATTTAAAACTAGCAAATATGCTAACCTGTCTTTTTTGGTAGCATTGTAGGGAGGCCGTTTTTACTAAATGCTAGACTGTCCTTTAATTTTATTTTTTAAAATAATTTTTTCAAAATTAATTACATAATGCAAAATAGATTTGTAATCGTAAGGTTGTCCATAATAACTAGTTTTACTCAAATCCATTTTTCCAAATTGGTCAAGCGCACATTAAAAGGGAGCGGATTTTTAAATAATTATTTTGAAATATTCAATACTTTGTAAAAAAAATTCGAATTTTATTGCTACCTTTATCGATATTGTGCCAAATAATGTCTATATATTGATCTCGGTCCCACCTTTCTAAAAATAATTTTCAGTTCGAAGAACTAGCTTATTTGGATTTTTTAAATTTTAATTTGCTCCTTTGGAAGATACTAAGATATTATAGGCTATTGAGGGGATAAAATTCTTTTAAGATTTCCTTTGTAAAGGGGAGAGATCTAGCTGGCTAACATTTAAAATCTACGAAGGAGTTTAAGATTTATTAGAGGAAAAATCAACCCCGCTAACTCAACGTAAGCCTCTAGCAAAACTACAAGTATGGAAGCAGGTTCGATTCCTGCAAGGTGGCTTAGCATCTTTGCGTATCTCTTGCTTATCTAACTTGAATATAAGACCGTTATAACTTCAGCTTTTTATTTTAGTTTAAAAACTAGCCATGTTCATGGTAAAATCCAACAACATGCATTATCTGTAATTTATGTGTATTATCTGGTGTATGGCATAAACACCTCGTGTATTATTGTTGAATAATCCATACAGCTAAAAACTGTTACTGACATTACAAAAATTAATTAGAATTAATTATGCACCCATTGTCCAGTGAGAGAACTTGAACGCCGCTGGTTTTGCCAACCTCAGAGAAACAGCCGTCCACTTTGCCAACGAATAGATAGTCACTTTAAATTATTTTTAGGAGATGATAATAATTCTCTAAATTAATTTTACCCATCGGCTGGTGTTCTAGCAACAAAGCGAACGCAAGATCGGTCATGATACTGTATAAAATGACTTATTAAAATTATGTTAGGGAGTTCTTGGAAATCGTAAAATTTCCTGGAGATTTTCTCCAGGTACGACACCTGAAAAGATTTCGGACACCAGGCTCTTTCTAAGTGTTCAATTTTCAACACAGATTGAACTCTATATCGTGATATCTTATCAATTATTCAAATTTCGCCACCTGCTTAACAGCCTTTGCAAGCAAAGCTCTCTCATGAGGAGTATACTGAGAACTGATCATGTAAGGTATTCGACCATTAGGCCAAAGCTTTTGAGAACGGCTCACGCCATTCCTCTTAGATCTAAAACTTGAATCAACAATTTTGTTACGTTCTGCAGCCCATCTAATCTCGGAACGATACACCCATTCCTTTATAATTTTTAATTTTAATTAATATATATTAAGTAAAAATTAACCTTTTCTTCTGATGTCATTTCTCTATATAATTCTTCTTTGCTTAAATTTTCTGCATTAGCAAAATCAGCGTCATTTAGGCTACCCAACGAATTTCCCGCATAATTGGCTTGGCAAATTTTGACTAAAAAGTTTTTGAATGTAACTGACGGATTGATAGTTACTTAGATTTTCCCTAGCTCTCAGCCATCTATGAATTTCCTTTTACATTTTAACCGAAAATCGGGACTGTGACAACATTGCTACATATTATTATCTGAGTTTAACTTTTTCATTTAAATTTTTGCTCTATCAGCTAGTCTTGGAGACGAAACTTCCGTGGCCCACGTTATGTGTTTGCATAAACTTGAATTTTTATTGAATTGAGCTAGGCCCTTCTAGACTAGAAACCGAACTGGAAGGGTCTTAAGAGAATTGAGATCGTCACTTAATAAAAAATGGTTGTGTTTTAGCCTTATATTCTTGCGCAAGAAGGATTATGTCCGATCCTTGAAACTAACCCCAAATTAAAAATTAACACTTACCTAGAAAATTAAAAACCATAATACTATTAAAAATACGAGAACAAATAAAAGAATAATTTAAATTTATTAGTTCATTCAAAAATATAATTAACATAATAATCTGATAAAAGAATTTTATGGCTAAGAGAGAATAAAATAAAAATAAAATGAAAATCTTGCGCAAGAAGGATGGAATTTTTTGTAATAAATAGTTAAAGCCGTTAATTTATTTTTTATTAAATTTTTTTGGACCAGTCGGAGATGGGTAAAATGCTTTGAACAAGTTGTCTTACGACAGTGTTTACTTTCACTGCCATAAAAAATAAATTTTATTTTTTCAGACAGGAACTCATTAAAGCCTTTATTTATTATTTATTATCTAGGGGATATTATATAACCAAGAACGATTTTGGAAGCGTCTTCTGGACCTTATAAAACCTGAATATAGGAAGGGGATTTTGTTGGCTCAACGAGAACATATCCGATATAATTCCTTCATTAAGATCTGAAAACCCAAAAAGCAACGGAAAACCGTGGGTAGACGTTTTTAAAAATATTTTCGACCCCTTACAGGTAAAATAAAAATTTCATTTTCGGCTTATTTGAAAGCACTTGAAATTTGCTGCAAGATAGTTTTTATCTAATAAAAGGAAATTAATCTGAGAATAAAAAGGAAGACTCAAATAGGGGTGGGGGCGGGATATTAATAAAGTACCAACATAAGTTCTTGCAACTATGTTTAACATAGATATATTAAATCTATTAACCCATTTTTACGAGAATAATAGCCAAATAAGCTGTTTAAGCATGCGTGAATGGAATATCCCCTGAGGCAAAATATTTTCTATTGTCCTTAAAAGAGAGGAATGAAATGAGCCTAGCTCCTTCGAGTGTACTAAGGAGTGAGAGACAAAGAAGTGGCCACTAATCCCCGAAAATTTGGAGGTTTTAGTTAAAATTTGGATAGCAATTTAATTATTATTTGTACTATATCAGCTTTAAGGGAAGCAAAAAATCATTAAGAAAATAAATCATTGAACGACGAGTGTTCATTACTCAATCACAGCTTTATTTAGGGAAGAACAGGCTTTATAATAGGATTAAAAAAAAATAATAAATTGCATATATTTTTTTTCTATTTAATTTTATTCGTCTTTCTTTCATCTTCCCATTTTTCTTTTATGGATTTGATTGCTGTCTGAAGCCTGTTTTTGGGGAGAAATGCGGTGGTGGTGGTATTTATCCATCCTTTTTGGACATTAATTACTCTCTTCTTTTTTATTTTTATATGCATTAGAGATTAAAAAATGGAGGGGAGAATTAGAAGTAATCTATGAAGAATTTTTGAAGAATTTTTGTGAATTTTCGTGAATTTTAAGTTTTGATTAACTAAAATCTAGAAGCCGAGTGAAGGAACCTTGTAAATTAGCAGTTACACCTTCCTCGTTTTTAGAAAGGAGGGTAGTGTACGAAGTAGGGGCTTAGCTGAAATTGTCGTGGTTCGGAGTCGAGGTTTTGTAAAGCATATAGCTATTTAATTTCTAAGGCTGTGCAGTAGGCTGCTTGGTGGAATGGATAACACATCAGTCCGGTCTACTGAAAATGCTGGTTCGCACCCAGCCGCCAGAAACCTTTTGCACTAGCTGAGGGAGAGTAATATATATAGTCCAGGTGCTTTACTATAGTTCTGATGAACCAAGTCTAGGTACCCGAGTAAAGGAACCGTGTAAATTTTAAGGTACTCCATTGTTTTTAGAAAGGAGGGAGTGCAACACAGATAGGGGGTTTATCCAAAATTATCGTGGTTCGGGGTGAAGAAGATAGACATTGTTGAGGTCCAACCCTCATACAAATAAAAATAATTTTTAAATTAAAAATAAATACAACGAGGAAGTAATTTAATAATAAATTTTTTTGTTTTCACGTGAATTAAATATTTTTTCCTTTGAAAAAGCGCGGAAAAAGTGCATATTTATTTATTTTGAATAGCAACATGCTTAAATCATGTGAAATTGGACTAACTTTTGAAATTTTCATTGATCAAACGAAGGAGATCAAACATGTCCGAGGGTTGTCCGAGTTCTACCACCGTCTACGTGATCAGGAAAACAGTTTATCAAAATAGAAATGTACAATGTAGGCGAATGGGGGAGCAGGGAGTATTCCTAGTAGTGTCTATTTCCCTCGGGGACTAGCCGGGCTAGTATGGCTCAACTAAACTTACTATAGTGACTCCAGTACAAAACAGGTCGGAAACTAACCGGTTTAGTATAATCCAGGGAATTCCGTGCGTTATTTATGTGGCCAGGAATCAAATTACATAAAACAAAAATCAAAATTTCTTCGAGAATTCCAACTTGCGTTTTCCAAAAATTCTTTTTTTAAATCAGGAAATTTTGGGATTAATCCCCGGCAGGCTTCCAGGCTTCGATCCTTTGAGCTTCTGGCAGTTATTGCTAGGCGCGCGCCTTCGCTCACCACGTACAGGTGCTCTAACGACTGAGTCACCGTGACTCTGCTTTGACCTTCTCTTTTTGATCTTAAACTCCCTCCTGTGAGCGTTTCAATTGCTAGCCAGATGGATCTTTCACTTCCTTAACTAATTTTAAAAGAATTTTTTTATCTTTGTTTTCACGTGAATATTTTTTAAAGAAAAATCAAAAGAAAAAGTACAGGCTTAAAACAACAAAATGAAAAGTCAAATGAACATGCCAGACATTTCAAAATGCTTTAATGAATTAATTTCTTTTGAATTTTATAAAGAAAATAATTTTATAAAAATTTGATAAAAGAATTTTTTTATTCAAGCAAGATATCTTAATTTTGAAAATTTTTTGGTATTGTTAAACAGTAAAGACGCGAAAATCCTGGTTAAATCCCAGAAGGAAATTTTACCCAAAATTCTTCCCTATTAGAAATATGGAAGACATGCAGGAACGTTCTGTCTCGGTTTATGTTAATCTACAGGGTGACCCAAAAAAACTAGACACGTTATTTTTGACATAACTTCATTAAAATTAAAGAAAATGACATCAAATAAAATTTAAATTATAGAAAGGGCTCCGATCTTGAATTTTTAAAAATCCGCAATTTTGATCTAAAAAATCCGCATTTCATATTAATTATTAAACACCGAACAATTAACAGAAAAATTACACTTACACTTGAGCCAATGCTTTCACAATCTCTACTCGTAATTTTTAAGAATTTTGGAAGGCCTTAAGAGAAAAAATGGCATTTAATTCTAAAAACTACAAGAAACTATAAAAACTCTTAATAATCTTCAAAAAACCACAAAAATAAGCAAATCCTTAGTTTTAAAATAATCCGCATCGACCTAACAAAAACCACAAAATGAGGAAAAATCCGCACATTTCAAGCCCTGATAATAGAAAAATAAATAAGGAGCAAAAATAATCAAGAATTTTAGAAGTTCCCAACTTTTACAAGAATACAGAGTTGAGGCGTATGGAAAATTTTTGGACAAACTAATTAACAAAATGACAGGTAATGGGCTCCAAAGCATATGGTAAGGCATTTATTATTTCCTTATCCCGTCACCATAATGACCTAGTTCTTTCAATACCGTTTCTATTTATATTTATTTTCTTGGAATTTTTAAAAGACTTTTTGCTTTGTTTAGCCTTTATGGAAATAAAAAAAAATAAAAAAATTTTTTTATTAAATAATAAAGTGCAAATAAATAAATTAAAGGGCATCCCTCCTCAAAATGCCCGATTTTTAATGCTTGCACTTTTAAAATAAAAGAAATGTGTTTTGATTTTACGAGGAATTGAATGTATTTTAGCAGTGGAATTAAAGGGAAAGAGAGAGTAAGGAAAAGAAGTAAGGGGAGGGTTTTTCACATTCGAGAGCTTCTCACTCTCCTCTTAATTTAATTTTATTTTTTATTATTTAAAATAAATTTTTAATAATTAATTTAAAAATATATATTAAGTAATAATAAAAAATTTTTAATTTTATTTATTTTTAATTTTTATTAGAAAATTTTTAATAAATAAAAAATTATATATTAAGTAAAAAAAAATTTCTTTAATTTTTTTATTTTAACAATTAAAAAATATATATTAAGTAAAAAAAATTTTTTTAATTTCATTTATTTTTAATTTTAATAAAAAATTTTTATTAATTAAAAATAATATATTAAGTAAAAAATTTTTTTGAATTCAATTCTGGGATATTTTTTCTGAAATCCTCAACTCTCAATTTTATTTTTTACTCCCATTAACAAAGGGCATCCCCAATAAATATTTCTTAAAAATTATTCTTAAAAATTATTTTTAAATTTCATTGAAAATTAATAGGCAGACAGGGCATCCCTTAATTTCTTAAATTTATTTTTTATAATTTATTTGCCAATTGTTTTTTTCCTTAAGTTTGATGAATCATTCTCATTCATTACTCGTGTCCATGAAATCCCCAAAAATCTTATTTAAGTGGAGCAAAGATTCTTAATTTTGTCATTCTTATAACTTTAATTATCCTTACCAGGGGTCTAGGCAAACTAAAGAATAAATTCACTCTTACGCGCATCGGCTCACGGGAATACTCTTCTTTACTTGCCTTTAAAGCAGCTAAACATCTCCCAAAAAATAGTAGATCTCTTACGACTTGATCCTGGGAGCTCTCCTATGCAAGGTTGTTGTTAACCGCTCACCCATCCCAGCACAGACTGCTAACTTGGGAGGAACTTTCTTGCTAGCCTGCGAGGAACTATGTAGTAGGAGAGTTCGCTTGCCTTAGAATATTATAAATTAAAAATTTAATATTATTCAGAAAAATGTTCATTAATTCCCCCTCACTTCCCCATCTTTTAATTTTTCTTATTTTTTGTCCAATTTATTCAATCTCCACAATTTTGCTAAAATTTGAATGGATAGAAGGTGGGAGCGAGTACAAACATTTCGATGATTTGGCTAGAACCACTGAAGAAAGATTTAGAATCCGTTTAGAAACTTCAGAAAAAAGTTTGGAGAAAAAAACAAAGAAATATGATGTTTGCATTTTCGAGGACGACCAACTTTTTACTGATAAAACTGATGAAAATTTTAGTTTAACAGTTTATTTGTTAAAGAATAAAGCTGGAACTAAAAATAGAAAAATTGGAGTAAAGGTAGGTTATTTGTTTTTATTTGGCTGTTATATTTACTTAACGAAATAAACAATTTGCCTTTTCACATGCAAGAATCGAGTGACTTACAAGGGAACATTTCGAACTGTGACCAAAAATTTTTAAATAAAAATTACCATCGTGTAGAGCGTAGTCGATTACCTACTGTGTTTCCGGCTTTTCTTCCCCTGACCCCCATTTCGAAAAGTTATAGGGCTTCAAAGTTTTCGACCTTTGGAGCGGTTGAGTCGCCCGCACTTTTCTCTCTCTTTTCTGTTCTTCTCCCTTTCCTTTTTTTTCCCTTTGTTTTTTTTTAGTGCGCTTAGCTTAGATGCTTTATCTATCCGGCCTTCTCTTTTAAGTCTCTCCTTTATTATTATTGTCAATCTATTTTTTATGATAATGTCTTCTATCCATAATTCCGTCTTTTCTGACCCTTCCGTCTACCCTTATATCCCCAAAGACGTCAGACCTAAGGCCCGTCAAGCTTGGATTCTAAGAAACCATACCCCTTAGTTCGGATCGAAAGAATGAGAATCATTAAGACTAAATACATACGGGCCCATTGACAAAAATTTTCATTATAAATTCGAGAGGTCTCGGTCTAGATTTTCTTACGACCCCAGTCCAGCCTCTAATTAATAAAATCCTAAATCCTTTACCTACCTAATCCTTCCTAATCATAATCAGCAAATAAATTAAATAAATCCAGTTAATCAACGAATTCGAATTTGTCGGCAAAAACAAAGCTTTCATCTTTAAAATGGATAAAATATTAAATTCAAATCAACAATTAACAAAAGATGTTGAATATGAAGAATTGAAATATTCCCCCCATTTAAACATTGAATGGCCCCAAAGATTAATTCAATTTAAATTTATTGGGGATTTGGAAGGGATGAAGCTTAAACGAATTACTTGTCTAAAATCCATTTTGAAAGGAAAAATAAAAATACCCAGCAAACAAATATTTTTCTTTCGAGATAGCATTGGGCGAGAAGGAGAGACTTTTTATTATTTTGTTAATGTTTGTCCAGATGATAAATATATGTTGATTTACAATAATGCTGAGACTATGTTGAAGGAGGAGGTTTGGAAAAATTATTTTTCTATGTCTAGACATAATTTGCGAAATATTCGAAGCATTTCCAGGCATATTTAGCCTGATTTTAGAATATGCCCTGAGGGCATTTAGCTATAAAATTGCGAGGAATTAAGCTAAATTGTGAAATTTTGAGAAAGGATCTTAAATTAGTTGATCTGACAAAATTTGAGGAATATTCGAAACATTTCCAGACAAATTTAGCCTAATTTTAAATTATGCCCTGAGGGCATTTGGCCATAAAATTGCAAGAAATGAGCCTAAATTTGAGAAATTTTGCATAGGGATCTTACATTAGGTAGTCTGTGCTATCGTAAAATTTCAGAATTTTTTGTCAAGTATTTCAGAAGTTCTGGTCAATAATAATACACGTTACTGTATAATAGTCATTTTATTGAACAGAATAAGTGAAAAAATCGGAAAATGCTTAATTTAAAATTTTTGAAATTTATGGAGAAGATAGTCAAGACTATGTAAGGCATGCGTAAAAAATTTTTGACAACTTAGTGTCACTCATTTAAGAACACTGTAAGCACGCGTCCAAGCGTCTTCTACATTAACAGAAGTGATGTTCGAGAGTTAAAAAAAGCCGAGAGTCGAGACCGAGACTGAGAATCAACCCGAGACTCGGACCAAGACCGAGAGCTCAAAAAACACGAGGAAGTTCTCGACTAGAGAATCGAGACCGAGAGTCTTGAACATCACTAATTATCAGCATCAACCCCTATAGATCAATTAAATAAAATGACATTTTTGGATAAAATTCAATATAAAATTTAATTTTTAGTCAGCTACTCTGAACTGCAGCGAGGCATTGAAGACAGAAAAAAATGTTTCAAATATTTATGAAATTGACATTTCGAGTAAAGGAAATGAAGGAGCTTGTATTCGAAGCAATGAAACCCCAACAAAAATTAGAGAGGAAATATTAAAGGATCATCAATCAAAGCAAGAAAAATTGATAGAAAAGTATTATAAGGCGAAACAAGTTAAAGGAAAAAACGTGAAATTTTTGGATGTTTCACAACAAAAGGAAAAAAGAAAATTTGATCCGGATAATAAAGAACATAGGTAGAACATTAATTAATTAAATCTTAAGTGAAATTAATGGGAAACAAAGTGAGCGCTTCAACTAGAGGTCGGTCGGAAATGACGAAGGTGCCGGAACTCGAAACTATTGAAAATCAGAAATAGTTCCGAGTTGAAAATCGGAAATCGGCGCAAATTTTCGGAAATTGGAAGGAAAAAACGTCGGAAATCGGAACTTTCTAACTCTTGTCTGTAGCAGGGAACGAGCGGACAGAAGAATGATTTTGAGAATCGGGAATTCCCGATGAAAATTTAATTCCCTATTTCGTGAAATCAGGATTTTCGACCTAAAAAACGTCGGAAGTTTCCGATTTTCGGGAATCGGGACGGCTCGTTCCCTGGTGTGTAGTGCTCGACCACTTTCTCAATCAAGCAGAGAATCGATCTCTAGTTCTATTAACTAGAGATCGGAATTTGAAAACCAGTAACACTCAGTGCCTGGCAATACGCACCAGGGGTGTGCCGAAACAGATTTTAAAAAGCGAAAGACGAAAGGCGAAAAGGCGAAAGTCATTTTAAAAAGCGAAAGACGAAAGGCGAAAGACGAAACAACAAAAAAGACGAAAATATGGCGAAAGACAAAAGACGAAAAGGCGAAACAACTGTACGAAAGGCGAAAGACGAAACGGCACACCTCTGATACGCACATCCTTATTTATTCCAAATTCTTAAATAGTCTGGATCACTAATTAACTTACTTAATTTAAAATTTAATGTTACAGATATTCATTACCGGATAAACAAAATATTGAATATTTAAAGAATATTATTTATAAAAAAACTGAAATTCGTCCAACTAATCTAACACCAGAATTTATTAACAAAATCGTCGGAAAATTTTATGAAGCTGAGAAGGCCCCATTTAATTTTTTGGTCAACAAAAAAGTTTTGGTAATTTAGTTGATATAATAGGGAGGTTTTGGGGATACAAATAATTTTTAAAAATTTTTAACATCGTCAAGTCTCATTATACGAGAGAGGGAGATCCTAGATACAGTATCGATAGGTAATAGGTATCGTGATATATGTATATCACGACATATCACACGATCCTAGGTCTTCTTAGTTCATGATTCGTTATATAAACTCATGTTTTGATCATCGTTTGAGGGAGCTCTCGAAAGTTTAGGTTGCATTACAGGGTGCGTAAAAAGTCCTTGCCCACACTCTTGGCATAAAAATTTAATCAAGTGAAATTTTCCAAATAAATTCACACATATAATAAAAGGAATGTGTGTTACCAGAAAATTATAAAAGATTTTCAAAATTTTATCCATTTGCGGAAATACAAGCATCTAATTTTGGTCTATTTCACTCTGGTTGGTCACTTTATGAAGAGCTCCTCATTTTGGGAGGACTATTCCCACAATAAGGATCCGTTATCTAAAATATTTGGTTAGTCTCATATTGGGAGCCTCATAATCTAATCAACCAATATTAGATCCCATTAAACTAGTTATTTTCCAATGAGGCCGAATTTATTTTTAAAATTACCTAGATTAAAGAAAATAAAAGCGAAATCACTGAAATTGATCAAGAGAAAAAATTCCGTGAGATTTTATTAGCGGAACACATGAGAAACGAATTAAACAAAAGAATATATAACCCGGAAGGGTTTCCTTTAGAGAAGGCTGATCCTAATGAAAATAAAATACTTGACAGAATGTTTGAAACAAATAAAAAACGGCGCTTAAATGAAGCAAAAGGAGGTAAGCGGAGATTTTAAGAGGTTCGGCACTGTTTTGGTTCAGACCAGTGCTGTGTACTTGCCATTTGTTGGCTCCGGCTCGGCTCCGGGCTTTTAAAATCTTGACTCCAGGCTTTTAAAATCTTGGCTCCGGCTCCAGCTCCGGAGCCGGTGATTTTCGTAGCCGCTCCATGTTGCCTCCAAGCTTCGGGTGGAAAATCAATGAATTATTTTTCATTGAGGGATGTGGTAGGATATCTAGTGATATCAGAGGATTAAGAGCTGTATCAATGGATTAAGGTATTTGGCTGGATTATCTTGTGATTTAGTGTGATTTAGGGTGATATCGGGGAATTAAACTGGATTAAGGGGATTTGGGTTGTCAAATGAAAATTAATATAAAAATTTAGAAAGTCAAAAAGCAATGAAAACTCAGCCAAAATTATTTTCATTAGAAGACATATTGAAAATAAAACAGGAAAATTTTGGTAAAGATAATTCTAGCGAGGAAATGAAATTTCAAAATTTGATATTTATTTAAAAATTTTTTAGCTTTAAATTATTTACTATTATTAAATGCTATATGAAAAATGTATAAAATTTCCGATAAATATTTTCCATTGAAAAATTCTACATGAAAAAATAGATAGTTTAACTGCTAAAATTATCTGCTAAAATAAGTACATAGGAGTATTAATAATTTCATTCTCTTGAAGATAGGGGTGATAATCTCTTGATGAAAGAGGTGATTTATAGAAGAGTAGCAGGATATGCTTTATTGAGAGAATAAAGCCAAATGTAAAATTTTTTCATAAAATTCTATTTTTCTTCTTGATAAAAAGTTGGGGTAGGGTTCATTAACATTTTTTCATGTTCGGAATTTACTTCCACTTGATCGGGGACCTTTCCTTACCCTATCCCTCGAATCACAAAGTCATACATAATTTTTAAAGATTTCAGAAAACTATTAGAATTTTCTGAAATTTCGAAGGATAGTTTAAGTAACGGCACATACCAAGCGTGCTTAGGCGATTTATAGAAGAGCTCTGCTTCACTCTGCTATACTATGTTTGAAAAAAATTTTCAATGATTATACATTTTATTTTTGATTAGTTTTAAATGTTGTTAAATACAATTTAGTTAATTAATACACATTATTATAGGACGATAATTATTATAGTACGATATTATAGTACGATAGTCTCTTCAATTATATACTTAATTCAATTTTCATTCTTATTTAACTTGTGAAAATGTCAACTGATTATTACCAATATCAAAAGTATGACCTGAAAAAAATTTAAAAAATTAAAGATAAAAATTTAATTAAAAAAACTTACAAAATTTTCGCATAAATGAACTGCCCAAAACCCAATCAAAACCTGCAAATTGGAAAGAAAATTAAATTTTAGTGATAATTTCAGACTTTTTAAAGCTGAAAACTCAGACTCCCCTGACTCGTAATAAATACATAGCAGGGGTGTGCCGAAACAGATTTTAAAAAGCGAAGAATGGAACATGAAAGGTGAAAGTCCAAAAAAGGCGAAAATATGGCGAAAGATGAAGGCGAAACAGCACACCCCTGATCCATAGTTAATTTTACTTTCGCTTCCCAATAATTAATCTTGTCATAGAAGCGTGATGATGATGGAAACGAACGGTAATCTTGCTGTATCAATCCCCACCCCCCCCCCCCTAAGCGTTTTAACCGCTGCTAAATGAATTATCCTTATTTAATCTTAAGATGATCACAGGGACTGATTATCCTTCGTATATTATTTGTTGTATCCTTAGTTTCGTAAAGAAACTATCGGAATGGACTTTTATTGGACTTATAATCTTTTCTGGATTCACAAAGATTCATTGGACTCATAATCTAGATTAGAAGCCCTTCCTCCAACTATCTTCATTTCCTCACGAGAGAGTTCTTTTACTCCCTCCTATCCAACAGATCCGAGAAAATTTTATACGAAAATTTATTACCATCTTTAGTTTTATCCATTCCGCCGACAGCTAGACCGCACTTATTATTTGCTATACGATATATCAAAACATCCTTTAAATTTGATTAATTACAGAAATCTTTAACTAATTTTAACCTTAGTCAAAGTATAATCAACCCCGCCAATTTTTAATGTTAATGATGGAGTAGCTCTACAATGTATAATGTATGCTCCATCTTGATCACTCCAACGAGCTCCTACTTGTTGTGTAAATTTATTGATAACTGCCCTATTTCCAATAATATCTCCTGAGCTGGAATCGGATATGGCTATAAAAATAATTTTTTATTGTTAAATGAATTAAGAAGCTCTAATGAATTCTCACTGCTCCAAAAATTAAAAACTTTGAAGCCCTATAACCTTCCGACTTAGGGGGTAGGGCCAAAAAAGAAAAATTGGCAATAGGAAATCGACTCTGCTTTACATTAGGGTTGCGCCCCGACCCCGACTAACCCCGACCCCGACCCCCGACACTTTTTGACCTAAAACCCCGACCCCGACATTGCCAACCCCGAAAACCCCGACCCCCGAAAGTTCGACCCCGACGACCCCGAACCCCGAAAAATTTTTATGACCCCGACTCAAACTGCATAAATTAACTTTTATATATTTTTTTGTTGGCATTCTGCTGTAATTTTGATAAAACAAAAGAAAGGAAAAGACTAGAGATCGGCACAGGACAGTATCCCGCACAGGATTTTTCAGGATCCTGTCCGAAATCCTGCCTTTTTTCCTGCCGAAATCCTGCCTGCCGAAATTCTGCCTGCCCTATTACTTTCTACTCGACTTACACTACTTGGAATACCAAACTTTTGACCCAACAACGGGGGATGTTGACTCAGTGAACATGGAAGAAATCTGGCTTCTTAACCTTCAAAATTCTCAAAATTTTCGCCTGCGGCGCTAAAAATGTAAGAAATCTGGCTTCTCGACCTCAATAATTCTCAAAGTTTTCGCCTGCGGCGCTGAAAGAGGAAGAAATGAACAGTAATGTTTGATAAAAATGCTAGATTTTGTAAATTTTCACTTCAACCCCGACCCCGACCCCGAACCCCGACATTATTTTCAGCCCCGACCCCGACCCCGAACAATTTGAGCAACCCCGACCCCGACCCCGACTTTGTCAACCCCGAAAACCCCGACCCCCGACTTTTTCAACCCCGAAGGCTCGGGGCGCAACCCTACTTTACATGACTGTATACCCTGGTATACCCTTGCTTTTTGGACATTTCGATATGGTTTCTTGTCAAACCTTTAACAAACTCAAAAGATGATATTTTAGAAAAATAAATTTTAATTTAGAAGTGGATCTTCAATTAAATTATGAGAGGATTGATAGCCTACTATTAGTCGAATATGATGTTTAAGGATACAAATCGTTCATGAAAGCGAAAGGGCCAGGAGGTCAAGGATTGGAGAGGCTTTTGTTGTAGGGGTTTGTTGAAGAGGGACAGGGATTCTATTCCATTACTGTTTTCAATGACAATCGTTTGACACCCCATGATCAACGATTAATACGGATCATAGTAAACATAGCCTTATAGAAGGGTGCGTTACATTAGAGTGAGGATAGGATCACGCGGGAATAATCCCGCAAATCGAAAAAAGTGGGGGATTACGGGAGCAGTATCTCGCAAAAACCCGCGCAGGATCCCTTCCACCATCGGTCTCTAGTTAAAGTTGAAACTTGCCTTGCGTTCCTCCGCTGGCTACTTTTCCTTGAATACTAACGCTCTAAAATTTTTGAAAAAATTAGGAAATTAATATATTTATTTACGTCGATTTGGAATTGATAACGTCCCCCTCCAATAAACTTAACCGAACCCAATCTCTGCCCACAATTTTGCGTGTCATAACCACCGAAAGTAGCTTGACCACCTTATAATAAAAATATTATTTTTTAATTTTCTCTGAATAACCTTGCATATTTTTCGAATTACTGGGATAACCGCCTTTAAGATACAAGGTAAACATTTTCTGCGCCAACAAATCTGGAGTTGTAAAAAATATTAAGAAAAAAATTGATAATAAATTAGGGAGGATCAAGCCAATTGAGAAGTTCTGAAAGGGCAGCAGGGCTTTGATAATATAGCATCTGATTTAGAGATAAGACATCAGGTGCGATGGCTCCGGAAGGAGACTCTCGAGCTCCTAAAGAGATACTCTCGACTGCTTAACATTTACTATTGGAAGAGACTCATTTCCCATTTTTTATTATTATTTTCCTATTAATCAAATGACCCTTCATCCTTCGCCTAGAGTGAAGGTTAAGACGATATAATATGTACTTACTCTAGCTGTTCAGAACTCTTGGTCTTGAGGCTTGACTCTAGACTTTTCTTGGGTTTTTTCGCCCATCGTCTTGGGGTTAAATCTTGGTCTTGGCTTGGGGTTACTCTTGGTCTCGAGTCTTGAGTCTTGGATAATTTTCGGTCTTGGACTGCTCTAATACATACTATTATCAATGGCAGCAAGAACTGGATTTTTTGATTCCGCTTTGCTAAGTTTAGCAAAACTAAGCCCCATAATTCCATCATAAGGATCGGCAAGTGTTTGTTTATCAATTAAATCTGCCATGCTAAATTCTAATTTGGGTTGCTTCAATCCAGCAAACTTAAAAGTAAAAATTTTATCTATTATAATTTTTATCATAAGGATACTCTGACAAGTCTTCTATAGGATTTGTAGTTATGGATTAGTTAAAAAAAATGATTTGGGTGATTGAGAACAACTGAGGGTAGTGTCATGGCGAAGTTAATGTACAGTATTTACTCAATTAATTCCCCACCCTCGAATAATTACCGACCCTCTATTAATTCTCCATGCCTGGGCTGAGCTAAAAAAATGCACTACTACACGTTCAAATTTCAAAACTCGATTAATTCACCACCCTCTATTAATTCCCCATGCCACAGATATATTGAAAAAAATTATTCCCCAGGGGAATTAATCGAGTAAATACGGTAACTTTTCGTATATCAGGACTATGGTGTGAGACCAACCATGGAGAGCTTTACTTTGCTTTATGATTCAATCGTTTACTTAGACTAAAGTAAAATCGTAGCTTCAAAGAGCTTCAAAGAGGTATCCTATACTGATTTTTAAGGTCATGTTAGGTTCAGAAAATGTGTCGGATTCCTCCTTCAGTTATCAGTGTTATTATTAGAAACACACCTCAATCGTATCAATACCAACAATTCCTTGAACCTCTCCTCGTATATCAGGAAAGTTCAAATATTTTTGAGGTTTTGGGGAAGAGAAAGTTGAAGATCTTGTAGGAAAGAATTTAGGCTTGCTTGTAGTGATGTTAAAAGCAGGTACAAAGAAATCGGCACTTCCAGTGCTCAGCAATATATTAAATCGTTGAGAGGGTGTACCTTAAAAGTTAAAAAAATTTTAGTGAATAAGAAGTGTATTTCTTTAACACCCCTCTTATCTTCAAAAATCTTCCCAGATTATTTTAGACATGGAGTTAGGGCATGGAGTTGGGTTTTCGGTTTCAAATGAACCGAATCAACCCGAAAAAACCGAAGACAACCTTAGCATGAGGCATGGATGATATTGAGATACTAAGATCAACAGAATATGGTTAATATAAGTAAATGACCATTTTGTGTAATATTGTAATTTTTTCTATAGAAAGAGTTTGCAAAAGTTTAGCCACCGGGCAGGATTCGAACCTGCGACCACCTTCCAGTTGTTGCTAGGCGCTTTCGCTCATTATATGCAGGAGCTCTACCTCTGAGCTACCGGGGCATCGACTAATGCTTTCTTTTTTCCTTTTTAGATCGTTTAACCCCCGCCTAAGCGTTTTAAATGCAGCTGGGTGAATCATCCTTACTAGAGATGTGCGAGACCGAAATTTTTCCAAGACTCAAGACTCAAGACCCAAGACAAAAATTTTTCCAAGATCAAGACTCAAGACCAAGACCAAAACTCCAAGACTCAAGACCAAAAATAATACAAAACTCGAGACAATTTTTAGGTGCCATAGGTCAAATTTTTGGTTTATTTTTTGTTATTTTGACACGATCACAGTCAACTTCAGCACAATCACCTATAATTTCGAAAAATCTATGCGAAATTCAAAGAATTTATCCGAAATTCAAAGAATTTTGGTGAATTTATCCGGGTGGAAAATCAATGAGATATATTATTTAAGAGGATTTGGGTGAATTATTTAGTTAAGGGGGATATTAGCAGGCGAAAATTTCGAAAATGTTGGAAGGCTAAGAAGCCAGAATTCTTCCTTTTCTAGCGCCGCAGGCGAAAATTTTGGGAATTATTAAGGCCAAGAAGCCAAAAATCTTCCTTTCCCTGCGCCGCAGGCGAAAATTTTGGGAATTATTAAGGCCAAGAAGCCAAAAATCTTCCTTTCCCTGCGCCGCAGGCGAAAATTTTATGAATTTTAGAAGGCGGTAGGCCAAAAAAATTCACTTTTTCAGCGCCGCAGGCGAAAATTTTGAGGATTTTGGAAGGCCAATCAGTAGATCCAAAGAGGCCAAAAAATCAAGACCAAAAAATAAAACCAAGACAAGACCAAGACAAACACCCCAAGACCAAGACCAAGACCAAGACCGAAAAAAAACCAAGAAAAGTCTTGGTTCCAAGACCAAGACCGAAAAAAAACCAAGAAAAGTCTTGGTTCCAAGACCAAGACCAAGAGTCTCGCACATCTCTAATCCTTACACTATCTTTCCATTCTTATTTAAGCTAATTTTCATTAATGAATCCATTTATCTCCAACTCATTCACATTATAAATTTTCCCAATAATTTCCCCATTTTTCTTAATTTTTCGGAAGCCATTGAAACCTGAGTAAACATATAGTACATAAGTGAATGTAACGAAAGAATTTTCTTATTTGACAAAGTTCAAGTTATTTGGTCTAAATGATATTAAAATTATCTTCCGGAACAAAATCCTAATTTAATTTCCGATTAACAGAATTATAGTTGGAGGTTAAAAGTAATAAAGAGAATTATAGCAAAATAATTTTTACCGATTCCGACGTTCATCATAAAGAAAATATCATTAGAGACAGTTAGGGGAGCCGTATAGACCTTTCCGGCACTATTTGGATTGCCTGTAAAAATTTTTAAATCAAAAAAATATTTAGCTAAATATGTTTGCATTGGATATGGCTATGAGAATAATGGATATGTTGCCTCAAAGTTCGAACGGACTATGTTCCATTCAGATTAGTATTATGTTCGAGGATTACTCCATAAACCTACTTCTCGCTCCGAACAGGACGTCTTCTCTTTAGCCATGAAGGACTCACCAGTCTACTTTCTGGTCAGAACGGAACATGTTCCCTTCAGCCTATAGCTTAGACCGAACGGAACATGGGCTTTCCAGTCTATTTTCTGGTCAGAACAGAACATGCTCCCTCCAGCCAACTTTCTAATCTAAATGGAACATGTTCTCTCCAGCCTACTTTCTACTTCGAACGTTCTCTCTATTCTACTTTCTAGTCAGAACAGCACGTGTACCCTTCATCCGACATCCTCGTTCAAACGGAACATGTTCTCTACAGCCTACTTCCTAGTTCGAACGGAACATGAACTCTCCAGCTTACTTTCTAGTCTGAACGGAACATGTTCCCTCCAGCCTTCTTTCTAGTCTGAAAGGAACATGTATACTTTCCAATGTTAAGGAAACTTAAATTAAGCAATCCACTTAAACCAAATTTAAAAACCTTTACTTTGTCCATATACAAAATTCAACAGAATTAATAAAATAATAATATTAAATATGTTCTTTAACATATTTAATTAAAATTTAATTTAAAAGTTTTATTTAAAAAGGCTTTCAAGTTTAATTTAAAAATTTTTTAAAAATTTAATTTAATAAATTAAGCAACTTGCCGGTGTATATAAATTAAAATTTTAAAAATGCTGAATAAATAATTGGTATAAAATCAACTAAAGCATTGACGTTAAACGATGTATTGAGAGTGAGGGGAGTGAAAAAAAAATTTATAAAAATTTAAAAATAAAATTCATAAAAAATTTTTTTATTTAAAAATACTAAAGATTAGTCAAGCTTTTCACCCCAAATTTTTATTTTTTTTTCTACCTAAAATAGATTTTATTAAAATAATTTATTCATCAATTAATTCAGATTTTGTGAATTACGTCAATGGATATTTTTAAAAATTTAAATATCTAAATATTTTATAAATACACAAACACTACTTCAATGATCAAACACCCATCCAGCTAGAGGCTGAAAAAATTACCTCCGGTAATAATTCAAGGAAATACGGTATATTGGTAGTTAACTTGTAATTTAGCGAGTCTGGGTCTTGTTTAGATTATGCCTCGACTCACACCTTTTCGCGTTTAATTAGAATTTTTTGCGTCCAATCATGGGTGATAAGTACCCGGTTCCCACCTATACTATCATAAAATCTATAGAAATAGAAAGTTACATGATCAAAGTTTCTAACACGCATAGCCGGATACTTATTGCCATAGATTGTGTTGTTTATGGGCGCGATCCCTTAAACGAGTCAATATAGAAGGCAGCCAATAGTTATTTTGTAAGGTTGATTCACCCAGCAGCATTAAAACGCTTAGGCGGGGGTTAAACGATCTAAAAAGGAAAAAGAGAAAGCATTAGTCGATGCCCCGGTAGCTCAGAGGTAGAGCTCCTGCATATGGTGAACGAAAGCGCCTAGCAATAACTAGCAGATCGTCGCAGGTTCGAATCCTGCCCTGTGGCTAAACTTTTGCAAAATCTTTCTATTTCTTGATTATCTTCATTTCCCTACAAACTTCGTCTACCTTTGTATTTCTCCAAGAGATAAAGTTTCTGTGCGGGTTCGTCTACTTTGGCTAGTTCCGCACATAACAGCTTGGACTCATAAAGAGAACTGATCTATGCGATCGAGGGGCTTGTTATATCGAAGTCGAATGTTCGGCCGAGATTTCTGATTTGTAATTTTTTGTTCCTTATCTTCCATAAATAAATCAAATTAGACATAAATTTTACATTTTAAAAATTCAATTTTTAATTTTTAATTATTGAGACATTAAATTTAAAATATTGAAAGTTAAATTAAAATCAAATAAGGAAGAAAAATTTTTAGGCTCTTGTCCAGTTTATGCGTCCCATGAAAGTATATGCGTTCCATCAACAAAAAATTGAATATTTCTTGGTGTTGCAAAGTAGGGGTATGGTTCCAAAGCATTTCTTCATGTTCGGGATCTAAGTCCACTGGGTCCGGGACCGTTCCTTACCCTATCCTTCGAAATTTCTGAAAGTTATAGCCAATTTTTAAAAATTTCAGAAAAACGATTTTAACTTTCAGAAATTTCGAAGGATAGGGTAAGGAACGGTCCCGGACCCAGTGGACTTAGATCCCGAACATGAAGAAATGCTTTGGAACCATACCCCTACTTTGCAACACCAAGAAATATTCAATTTTTTGTTGATGGGACGCATATACTTTCATGGGACGCATAAACTGGACAAGAGCCAATTTTTAACGTGGTAAAGGAAGCCATTTTAATTTGTAATTTTTTTTAAATTTTTTTCTGCTTAGACAGAAAAATCAAAAAATTCATTAATTAAATTATGTAATATTTGAATTTTTAATTAATTAAGTTCAATAAATAGAGACACATTATGGAATATTTTTAGATTTTTCATTAAGCTTTTCTCAATTAGGTATGTATGTAGCAGGGGTGTGCCGTTTCGTCTTTCGCTTTTTAAAATCTGCTTCGACACATCGTTATGTAGATAATTAATTGACGGAATGTGCCATACCTGAACCGTATTTTGGGGGTGAATTTTTACCCTATTTACAAGGCATTTGCCTTATTTTTGAACTTTTAACCCTACTTTTGTCCTATTTTATACATTTGCCATATTTTGCCCTATTTTTACAAGTTTGTGAAATTTTCTTGGGAATTTGGAACTAATATGGGGAAAAACAAAAATTCTTTTGAAAAAGTTAGAAAACTGGCTTCTTGGCCAAGTTTTTAGTCGATCTGGTGATAAATGAAGTATTTTAAAATTAACAAAATAAAGATATTTTTCAGGGTATTGATCTAATTTTGCATGAAACTACCTGTCCGATCGCCATAAAAATGTACACGTTTTTAAATTTTTATGTCTTTTTCCAACAAAAATATAACCTTTTTTGCAATAAAAAATATTATTTAGTGTTATGCGGTCCAAAGGTTTACAGCAAAGTTTCGTGGCCTTTTTTCAACACAAAACATTTTTTTAATATTTTAAGACAGAGTTGAGTCCCAAAGTTAATACTAAGCAAATAATTTATTTGTGTCCATGTTCAATGACTTTCCAACAATATTTCCTAGGTGACATGCATCTTATCCCTCTCACTTTACAATTATTTAATCCCTTTGTTCTCATTTACAAGGCGTTCAGTTGTTAG